AAAATGTCCATTATTTCTTCCTATGATGTCATCAAATGTAAAAAGATTTCTTTTAAATCAAGACATCTTCTGCTAAAAAATATTGTTTATATGCACCCACAAACACCTTTTATGGCTTATCACCTAATTCAGCTCTGTATCAACTACAGATGTTAATCCAAATAGTGTTTTCTAAGTGTAAGGATAGTGGAGGCAATCCTAAATTATTACCTCACATAATATGTTACCCTATATGTGCACACAGTTGTAATTAATTGCCTCAAGCAAACTACTGTATGATAGCAAATCCTGGAGTGTATGCTCCTTAATTAAGAAGAAAGACTGAATACCTTCCACATGAGCTGAATGAGGCGTATCCTTAGTTTATCATGACAAGACTTTGTCTCCAACGAAGGTGTACTCACAAGAGCAAAACTAGCACCAATGTACTGTCTACTGAAGCCAAGACGTCTGCGCTGGCTGGGACATGTCTCCCACATGCAGGATGGTCGTATTCCAAAGGACCTCCTGTATGGTGAGCTGGAAACAGGAAATAGACCTACAGGAAGGCCAAAGCTACGTTATAAAGACATATGCAAATGTGACTTGATAGATACCAACATAGGCACAGACACTTGGGAAAAATCAGCTGCAGATCGACTACTATGGCAACAGAAAGTGAAATGCTGACTGACGCAATTTTAAAAGAAACCAAATCCAGTGAGCTATACATAGGTGACACCAGAGAGAAAATTATCCTCATAGCGTGGGAGTATCTAGTATCTGTATCCTATGTGGTAGAGACTGCCACTCCGGCATCAGACTTTACAGTCACAGGAGATGCTGGTCCCAAAGCCAGCGGCACATCTTCGGAGTGTCTTGGGACTGACGGATGCCATTATTATTATACTTATTTTTAGTAGTAGTGAGCGGCCTTATCTGAAACAGTCAATTCCTAACTGCCAACAACAATGGGTACACATGCCTAACTACAGACTTGGTGTAGACAGAGACACTACAGAGGACCAGTTTGACTCTGTATCATAAACACTAAAATGTTACCAGAAATTCATTCTGCCTATTAAACAAAACACAAATAAAATGCTTATTCACACAAGGCTAGTACTAGTAACAAGAAACAAGGCTAACTCAGGCAGTGTGGGATATTGTCATCAATCTCCATTTCCAGCGAGCATTTGTTTGTTAGTAATGATGTATGTAGCAATTTGTGCTGATGGACTACAACACTTCTTATATTTAATTGAAGACTTGCTTTGCTGTATGACACTGTGTTTTTCACAGTCTTGCAATGTTAGTGAAATCATTTGAATAGATGAGGTACCTTTGTATACACCCTGTAGAACATTACAGTAGACGCTGCTACTACAAAAATTTGTATTGCTGAAAACACCTGAACACAATTTCCTACACTGTTAAATGTATTGTCTGTTGTGCTGAAACAACACTGCACTTTTGAATAGAGCAATTTGTACTGTATAAAGTACAAGACTTCCCACATATGAATTCAACAACATCCATGCCTGTAATGAACAATATGCACTGCTAAATACAGCTATCTTACAGTTAGAAAAAAACTATCTGCACTGTAGAAAATACAACACTTTGCACTACTGAATCCAACAACATGTACTGTTGAATACAACAGCCAGCACTGGTGACTACAACAATCTGTACTGTTGATGGCAACAAACTTCAGCGAGGGCATCATCAGTGACTGGGCCGATGTGTTTACAAATCTTCACTGAAGAAGTTCATGCACACAGGATGTTCCCCAGTGCTGGGGAAGAAACATAATATTAAAGAGGGTATGTTGAAAACAAAAAAAATGTAGAGATTAAATTATTGCTTTAGAGATGGATTGGCACTTTAGTGGCTTTTGAATCCATTATGTTGGGACAGAACAACACTTTAACAGCTCTTCAGAGGGACGCCTAATATTCTTTTGTTTGCTGGGAAAACAAATTTGTAGGAAAATGTTTTGAAAAATTAGAATTCATGAAACAAAATCTTCTCATTTTCAAAGTTTGGATTACTTTCTGAGTTGTTTTAAATGTAATCAGTGGGATACAATTACAGTACATAAGGATCATAGAATTGTTAAACATATTAACTATTTTCTAAGCTACACAGCTACCCAAATATATTACACACTTACAAAGCCATGGAATTTGAGTGACTAGAACTCTTGTTGTACATCACCATAGAAGTAGATTGGCTAGAACTCTTGTTGTATGTCACCATAGAAGTGGAATGGCTAGAACTCTTGTTGTACATCACCATAGAAGTAGATTGGCTAGAACTCTTGTTGTATGTCACCATAGAAGTGGAATGGCTAGAACTCTTGTTGTACTTCACTACAGAAAAAGAATAGATAGACTCTTATTGTATGTCACCATGGAAGTGGAATGGCCACAACTCTTGTTGTATGTCACCATGGAAGTGGAATGACTAGAACTCTTGTTGTATGTCACCATGGAAGTGGAATGGCTAGAGCTCTTGTTGCATGTCACCATGGAAGTGAAATGGCTAGAACTCTTGTTGTATGTCCTCATAGAAGTGGAATATCTAGAACTCTTGTTGTATGTCAACATAGAAGTGGAATGGCCACAACTCTTGTTGTATGTCACCATAGAAGTGGAATGGCTAGAACTCTTGTTGTATGTAACTATGGAAGTGGAATGGCTAGAACTCTTGTTGTATGTCACCATGGAAGTGGAATGGCTAGAGCTCTTGTTGCAAGTCACCATGGAAGTGGAATGGCTAGAACTCTTGTTGTATGTCACCACAGAAGTGGAATGGCTAGAACTCTTGTTGTATGTAACTATGGAAGTGGAATGGCTAGAACTCTTGTTGTATGTCACCATAAAAGTGGAATGGCAAAAACTCTTGTTGTATGTCACCATGGAAGTGGAAAGGCTAGAACTCTTATTGTATGTCACCATGGAAGTGGAATGGCTAGAACTCTTGTTGTATGTCACCATGGAAGTGGAAAGGCCACAACTCTTGTTGTATGTCAACATTGGAAGTGGAAAGGCTAGAACTCTTGTTGTATGTCACCATGGAAGTGGAATGGCCACAACTCTTGTATGTCACCATGGATGTGGAATGGCTAGAACTTTTGTTGTATGTCACCACAGAAGTGGAATGGCCACAACTCTTGTTGTATGTCACCATGGAAGTGGAATGGCCACAGCTCTTGTTTTATGTCACCATGGAAGTGGAATGGCCACAACTCTTATTGTATGTCACCATGGCAGTGGAATGGCTAAAACACTTGTTGTATGTCACCCTAGAAGTGGAATGGCCACAACTCTTGTTGCATGTCACCATGGAAGTGAAATGGCTAGAACTCTTGTTGTATGTCCTCATAGAAGTGGAATATCTAGAACTCTTGTTGTATGTCACCATAGAAGTGGAATGGCCACAACTCTTGTTGTATGTCACCATGGAAGTGAAATGACTAGAACCCTTGTTGTATGTCACTACCGAAGTGAAATGGCCACAACACTTGTTGTATGTCACTACAGAAGTGAAATGGCCACAACTCTTGTTGTATGTCACCATAGAAGTGGAATAGCTACAACTCTTGTTGTATGTAACTATGGAAGTGGAATGGCTACAACTCTTGTTGTATGTCACCATGGAAGTGGAATGGCTAGAACTCTTGTTGTATGTCACCATGGAAGTGGAATGGCTAGAACTCTTGTTGTATGTCACCATAGAAGTGGAAAGGCCACAACTCTTGTTGTATGTCACCATTGGAAGTGGAAAGGCTAGAACTCTTGTTGTATGTCACCATGGAAGTGGAATGGCCACAACTCTTGTATGTCACCATGGCAGTGGAATGGCCACAGCTCTTGCTGTATGTCCCCAAGGAAGTGGAATGGCTAGAACTCTTGTTGTATGTCACTACAGAAGTGAAATGCCCACAACTCTTGTTGTATGTCACCATAGAAGTGGAATGGCTACAACTCTTGTTGTATGTCACCATGGAAGTGGAAAGGCTAGAACTCTTGTTGTATGTCACCATGGAAGTGGAATGGCTAGAACTCTTGTTGTATGTCACCATAGAAGTGGAATGGCCACAACTCTTGTTGTATGTCACCATTGGAAGTGGAAAGGCTAGAACTCTTGTTGTATGTCACCATGGAAGTGGAATGGCCACAACTCTTGTATGTCACCATGGAAGTGGAATGGCCACAACTCTTGTTGTATGTCACTAAGGAAGTGGAATGGCTAGAACTCTTGTTGTATGTCACCATAGAAGTGGAATGGCTAGAACTCTTGGTATATGTCACCATGGAAGTGGAATGGCCACAACTCTTGTTGTATGTCACTAAGGAAGTGGAATGGCTAGAACTCATGTTGTATGTCAATCCATTGGTGATAAATGTGAGTGCAGCTTAGATGAGAATGTGCTCATAACGGCGGGGTGTCGGGTTTGATCCCAGCTGCAGTCGGTTTTTGTGTGTGCCTTGCATTGGTTTCCATAATGATATCGAAAGCCAACCATTCAGTAACAAACAATGGCAAACTACTTAAGATACAATTTACCTAGGAAAACCATAACAGCCAAAATGTGCAGAGATTGGCTCTTCAACATCCTATGAAGGATATGCAACTAACTGTTAACTACAAAATACATTGGGAAGTAAAAGAAGCTGGCATTATTCTGTACCCATCACCCTTCTGATACTGACTGATCTTTACAAATAAGGGGTTTTCTTTCTGTAGCCAAGATACCTCACAACATGGTGAGATTATTGGCTGCCCTAAACAGCTAACTGATGACCCCTCCAGAACCACACACTTGTTGAGTCTAGTGCAGTTTCTCAAAGTTCTTCCTAGAGAATACTGATAGTCTATGGACAAAAGTTTATTGCAGACAAGGCTGCAATAATTACACCAACACAAAAGGTTCTCCTTGAGGCATAAGTTGTTTTGTTCAAAACAGGATTACTAAAAGCTTAAAATAAAAGGTACGTAACTTACATGCAGTTTTATTGTAAGAGACATTTCTGTGTTACTTCCCCTACACCCTGGGCAAACTTTGCAGGAATCTCGCTGACTTTGGTTGACAACTCACTCAGGTTTGTGGGGAATTCTGGGGAAAACAACACATTTCCAGTCAAGTTCAAGGTTGTCGCCACCAAGATACACGTAATTAAACAAACTGATCAGTTCACAGAAACAGGAATGTCAGCTAGTTTATATTCAGACATTAGATATTATTTAGCTATCCTCTTGATCACACCCAATTTGAAAAAAAAAAGTTGTGAACTGCTAAAATGATCACTAACAACTGCGATCATACCTCACGATAACCTACAACTCCCAACAGCACGTATGAGTTCATTTTCTGACACTCAACCGTGCCAGGACAGAAGGCTTTCGAGAATCTTCTCCAGTTGTTTTCCTCAATTTCTGTTTCCTTAAATCCTTTCAGTTGTCAAACATTTATATTTTTTGCTTCTTCTAACGTGGTGAACAAATGATGACTGCCCCTGGCTAATGTCCTGCCCCTGTTTGATGTCCTGTCCCTGTTTAATGTCCTGCCCCTGTTTAATGCCCTGCCCCTATTTAATGCCCTGCCCCTATTTAATGTCCTGCCCCTATTTAATGTCCTGCCCCTATTTAATGTCCTGCCCCTATTTAATATCCTGCCCCTATTTAATGTCCTGCCCCTATTTAATGTCCTGCCCCTATTTAATGCCCTGCCCCTATTTAATGCCCTGCCCCTATTTAATGCCCTGCCCCTATTTAATGTCCTGCCCCTGTTTAATGTCCTGCCCCTGTTTAATGTCCTGCCCCTGTTTAATGTCCTGCCCCTATTTAATGTCCTGCCCCTGTTTAATGTCCTGCCCCTGTCTGATGTCCTGCCCCTGTCTGATGTCCTGCCTCTGTCTGATGTCCTGCCCCTGTCTGATGTCCTGCCCCTGTCTGATGTCCTGCCCCTGTCTGATGTCCTGCCCCTGTCTGATGTCCTGCCCCTGTCTGATGTCCTGCCCCTGTCTGATGTCCTGCCCCTGTTTAATGTCCTGCCCCTGTTTAATTTCCTGCCCCTGTCGAATGTCCTGCCCCTGTCTGATGCCCTGCCCCTGTTTAATGTCCTGCCCCTGTCTGATGTCCTGCCCCTGTCTGATGTCCTGCCCCTGTCTGATGTCCTGCCCCTGTTTAATGCCCTGCCCCTATTTAATGTCCTGCCCCTATTTAATGTCCTGCCCCTATTTAATGTCCTGCCCCTATTTAATATCCTGCCCCTATTTAATGTCCTGCCCCTATTTAATGTCCTGCCCCTATTTAATGCCCTGCCCCTATTTAATGTCCTGCCCCTATTTAATGTCCTGCCCCTATTTAATGTCCTGCCCCTATTTAATGTCCTGCCCCTGTTTAATGTCCTGCCCCTGTTTAATGTCCTGCCCCTGTTTAATGTCCTGCCCCTATTTAATGTCCTGCCCCTGTTTAATGTCCTGCCCCTGTCTGATGTCCTGCCCCTGTCTGATGTCCTGCCTCTGTCTGATGTCCTGCCCCTGTCTGATGTCCTGCCCCTGTCTGATGTCCTGCCCCTGTCTGATGTCCTGCCCCTGTCTGATGTCCTGCCCCTGTCTGATGTCCTGCCCCTGTCTGATGTCCTGCCCCTGTCTGATGTCCTGCCCCTGTTTAATGTCCTGCCCCTGTTTAATTTCCTGCCCCTGTCGAATGTCCTGCCCCTGTCTGATGCCCTGCCCCTGTTTAATGTCCTGCCCCTGTCTGATGTCCTGCCCCTGTCTGATGTCCTGCCCCTGTCTGATGTCCTGCCCCTGTTTAATGTCCTGCCCCTGTCTGATGTCCTGCCCCTGTCTGATGTCCTGCCCCTGTTTAATGTCCTGTCCCTGTCTGATGTCCTGCCCCTGTCTGATTTCCTGCCCCTGTCTGATGTCCTGCCCCTGTCTGATGTCCTGCCCCTGTCTGATGTCCTGCCCCTGTTTAATGTCCTGCCCCTGTTTAATGTCCTGCCCCTGTCTGATGTCCTGCCCCTGTCTGATGTCCTGCCCCTGTCCGATGTCCTGCCCTTGTTTAATGTACTGCCGCTGTCTGATGTCCTGCCCCTGTTTAATGTCCTGCCCCTGTCTGATATCCTGTCCCAGCCTGATGTACTGCCCCTGTCTGATTTCCTGTCCCAGCCTAATGTACTGCCCCTTCCTGATGTACTGCCTCTGCCTGATGTACTGCCTCTGCCTGATGTACTGCCCCTGCCTGATGTACTGCCTCTGCCTTCAGCTCTTCTAAAACATCTTAGTTAGTGATATTGTTAGTTAAAGGAACTTTAAGCACTCGTCTGTAAAACCACATACATCGGGCCTCAGTAAATTATCTGGTTTGTTTTCTGTTTGTCCAGGACATACATCTATCAAAAAGCGTATAGTGACATCCACGCCTTTAGGTGGAATATGTTCAACTCCAACCAGAGACCTTGTATCACGGACTCTGTCGTCTGTTGAGATAATGTTCAACTCCAGCGAGAGATCTTGTATCGCGCACTCTGTCGTCTGTTGAGATAATGTTCAACTCCAACCAGAGACATTGTATCATGCTCTCTGTCGTCTGTTGAGATAATGTTCAACTCCAGCCAGAGACCTTGTATCGCGCACTCTGTCGTCTGTTGAGATTATGTTCAACTCCAGCCAGATGTATCGCGGACTCTGTCGTCTGTTGAGATTCCAAACACCTAATCACATCATTCTGATCGATGGCTACAGGCGGACGGTTAAGACAGGAAATGGAGTCTTTGTTATCTAAGAGATATAAAGGAGCCAATCAGACCCGCCATTTAACGGGGGAAAGATTACAAAAAGTGGCTTTGTTAAAGAACAAAGCAGACCCAGATTAATGAGTTTTGTCTTATATATACACTTAGTGAATCTTTGACAGGGTCTGCGTAAGACAACACTTCAGGACACTGATCAATGATTAAGGGGCCGCGTTAGCGCAGTCGATAGGAGAATCGCTTTCAAATCCAGCTACGATTCGCTGCAGCCCACGGCCGGTGTTCAAAACCGAGCTTTTCCCGGGGTTCACCCAGCATCTAGGAAATGGGTACCAGAGTTAACACTCTGGGGTAAATGGAGGAACATCGCTGTAGCTACGGAGTTGCGTGCAGATGGCGACACTGGTGGACAGTTTCCTATCAGCGGTCTGTGCAGGTGGCAAAGCACTTATGGTTTATAACCGTATGCAATGACGCTGATTCACATCTCCCGACTTTACCTTTACCTTTATCAGGACACTTCTGGGCAACGTCACTTGGGCTGAGACTAAACGATGGCACGTGATTCATGAGATTGTACCAATAACAGTTTTAGAGACCAGGACACGCTGGTGCAGTCAACTGGTTAAACATACGGCTCGACAAAACGGTTTCGTTCGGGAGGTAAACAACACTCTACTAGTTTTAGACACATATCGAAAATCAAAATTAGTCTTCTAAGTGTTTTGATTCAGAAAAAATAATCAATCATAATTTATCCCGCACATCAGAAATTGAGCCGCAATTGTTTCGAAAACCAATAGAGAAGAATTGTAAAGGAGTGTGCAGCAACAACCGGTAGTATTTACAAAAAGAGATAAAGGAAGACAGCGAGAGGGTTCTGACAATATTGTATGTGACATGGAGATACGGTCACGCACCAGCTGAAATATTTTCCTGGAAGTTGCAAACTTTGCATAAACGCACGATCGTCCACGCCAGTCGACGATGAACATGATGGTGGCTAAAATGATAATGATCAAGGTAATGATCCCGATGTCAATAATGATGACGATAATGATGAAGATCATGATAACGATGACGATCATAGCATTAGTTTTAGGAAACGGTTCTCCCATGTCCGGTAAAGTCGTTATCGTCTGGTGTGATGATACATAAACTACGATGGAAGAATACAGCATATTTCTCTGTTTCCACTTGCAGTGTGGAGCTTAAGGCCTTGGGAAATAGGCCACTGACTGAACAGTTTTCAAATGCCCAGTTCTTAAAGTGATCAAAGGTCACACATGACCTCCACGATAAAGTTATCTTAAAGTCTTCCTTCAGACCCGATTTTTGTTGTTAATCATCGTTTAATGTTCGTGACCATTCTTGTGTATTTCTGCATCGTTCTGTGACGACATATTTCACTGCACATCCTCATCTGGTTGTAGAGAAACAAACGCCATCATTCATTGACAGTTTGTGGTTTTTCTTGGTATTGATGTGTTTAGTAATGTTTGCTGATGTTTCCTCAACTGTCACATGTTCACATCATTGTTATCATCAACGTCAGATGTTCACACCACTGTTATCATCAACGTCAGATGTTCACACCACTGTTATCATCAACATCTGATGCTCACCCAATTGTTATCATCAACGTCAGATGCTCACGCCATTGTTATTATCAACGTCAGATGTTCACACCACTGTTATCATTAACGTCAGATGTTCACACCTCTGTTAACATCCACGTCTGATGCTCACGCCATTGTTATTATCAACGTCAGATGTTCACACCATTGTTATCAACGCCAGATGTTCACACCTCTGTTAACATCCACGTCTGATGCTCACGCCATTGTTATCATCAACGTCAGATGTTCACACCACTGTTATCAACGTCAGATGTTCATACCTCTGTTAACATCCACGTCTGATGCTCACGCCATTGTTATCATCAAAGACAGATGTGTACACCATTGTTATCATCAATGTCAGATGTTCACACCATTGTTATCATCAACGTCAGATGTTCACACCGTTGTTGTCATCAACATCAGATGTTCACACCGTTGTTATCATCAACGTCAGATGCTCACGCCATTGTTATCATCAGCGTCAGATGTTCACACCATTGTCATCATCAACGTCCGATGTTCACACCATTGTTATCATCAACGTCAGATGTTCACTCCATTGTTATCACCAACGCGAGATGTTCACACTATTGTTATCACTAACGTCAGATGTTAACACCATTGTTATCATCATCGTCAGATGTTCACACAACTGTCATCTTCAACATCAGATGTTCACACCACTGTAATCATCAACGTTATTCGTGTATATTATTAATTTACGTATATGTAAAGACCTGTCGACAGCTGATATATTATGTGGCGAACATCATTCAGCTTCTGAATGAAATCAAGTTATTCCCAGAAATGTAAGGAAAATAAATTTTAACGACGAGGCTTTACCCAGAAGAACTGCTTACCTAGCAATTAAATTAGAACTGCAAGACACGCTTCAATAGTCGTACATTTTACCCCATCAGGACATCACGCAGAACAATTAACACCCGGTGACACAAAGTGCCACCATGCGGATGAGGATGACCCGTGGAGAGGTCACGGAAACCCCGTTCAACTGTTTGGCTATACTGCGGCCCCTGGCAACAGCCAGGGTGGGGCTTCAGAACAATGAAGAAATGCATCCCACAAGAGGATGATAATTGTTTAGTATAGGTACACGCTTCATCTAAACTAAGTAAAAGTCATAAGTATCATCGGATCTCAAGACAGTCTTAGTACATTTAGATTTAAACTCCATAACTGTCGAAGGAACGTACATGTGAGAAACAATGCCAAAGTTTGAGAAACTGTGCAGAGTGGTAGACGAATCTGAATGTGGAATAGATAGCAGTTTGATAGAACAAATCAGTGGTCACGTAGACAATGGAAAACGAAAACTGGCGTTATTTCCTATGACGTGACAGAAGAAAGAGTGCGCTAGTGGCAGCAAATCCGTGTCCTGCCTTTTTTTATGTTTCCAGCATCCCCGATGAACTGCATGATGAATTCTTGAATCCCTAGAACAACTTCTCAGCACGCAACTTATGATTGCAAAACTGCTGACTCAGTTCTGCTGTGCTATTTATCATAAATGTCAACAACGCTTGAATGTTAACCTCGTCCCAAAATTGGACGCAATTTAATTTTTTTTTTTCAATTTCAAAACCCTACCCGGTGTAGTTGGGGGCCCTAATATATCCTAACGGTTTAACTGGATTTCGGGGACTTGTACTGAATGATTCTCATCCGAATAATGGCACTTTGTGTCACCGGGTGTTTGTCGCTCGTTGGGCAGTCCTGGTGGGGGTTGAAGATCGCTGACATGCTTGCGTTGCGAGTTGTCTCCCCTTTGTCTCTATGTCTTTCTGCGAGAGCGGATTTTCAAAGCTTCTTCAATTGAAAAACAAGAGACAGATTAAGTGTTTAGAATGACATGCAGTTGGCATTGATGAAAACTCAACTGCACATTTCTAAGCTTGTTAATGATTTACAATGTCAGTCATTGAATTAAATCTGTTGCAAATTAGCATTATCTTCAAGCATTTTACACCCCCCCCCCCCCCTTTTCCCAATTAATTTTTATATCTTTTCATCTCCATTAAAAACCCCATCTTTTAACTATGGGGTCGCGGGTCATTTTGCATCCATGAATTGAGGTCATAGGTCGAAAACGTTTTTTTTAGGAAATGTTGTAGTAGATAAGGACCCCTTATAGTTGTATTGGGCGGATCTCCGGACGGCTCTCCGCTATCGTAATCAGCAAACAGCCTGGTCCCTGGCTGGTCCGTCTTTCACTGTAGCCGCACCTGCAGGTTTATCAGCATAATCATTTCCTAATACACCCGCATACCCTGCCAAGAAAACGAATCTGATATTTGTGATAATGTAGACATAACTGCAATTAGGACACTAGGCCTCAATTATTTCACCGAGCTGACACTACATTATAATACTGAGAAGACACTATCAAGACGACACTTGTGAACACACCCCGCCAGGGTATTACCCCGAGTCAGCGAATCTGGTAATCTGGTAATCTTAGTTTCAGCTTTATCGCAAACGGGTCAGCCCATAGTTGCTCCACTCCTGTGCCAAAGAAAACACAATAATGGTTGTGATGAATAAAAGAGAGGATTTACTTGAAAACTCCTCGTCGTCTGACTCGTCCTTGCTGGCTTCAGCTGCTAACTCTGCCGGCGTTTTCTTCTTTCGCCCGATCCTTCCATCAGCCAAAGGTTCTGGCTCCTCTTCCTGGGCTTCCTCTTTCTTCTTTAGACCATACTGCAGAAGATCAATCAAATCAGTTATAGAGCATCAATGGTTATGTAAGTATGGGTGTGTGTGGGTGTCGGGGGACGGGGTGCCAAGTTCTGGAACATCAACACAATTGTTTCACTTGCTAAAAGTATTGATTGTAGTTTGTACTGAGAGACACAATAACAGGGAGACATCATCAGACGTGAGAACACGACTTCGGTTATAGAAAACACAACGTAAAGCACATACAATCGACATGAAACTATAAGTAGACATGAAACTGACAGGTAAACATCAAACTGACAGGTAGGCAGCATCATAACTGACAAATAGACGTCAAAGGGACAAGCAGATATCAAACTGATAGGTAGGCAGCATCATAACTGACTTTTAGACGTCAAACTGACAAGCAGATATCAAACTGACAGGTGGACGTCAAATTGACGGGCAGAAATCAAAATGACAGGTAGATATCAGACTTACAGGAAGACATCAAACTGACAGGCAGACGTCAGACTAACAGATTGAAATCAAACTGACATGTAAACATCATGCTACCTCGTAGACATCAAACTGACAGGTAGACATCAAACTGACAGGTAGACATCAAACGGATAGGTAACAATCAAGATAATGGGTAGACTTAAAACTAAAGGTAGATATAAAGCGAAACTGTAGTGGTGTGGCGGCGACACAAATAAAACATTGTATAAGTGTCTAATAATTCTAATGTGATGAATGGCTGATATATAATATTTGAAATAATCGTATATGTATAAACGAAAACTTTAACAGTGAAGGTATACATGTGCTTGGTGGGGAGAAGGGGAAAGGAGCGGTTCAAAATGGACGAGCGCCCAGATTCCGGCGCCCCTACGTGCAGGAGGGGTATAGTCATGGCACATTTCATTTAAAAACATAGAAAGCAGAAAGATGAAGTCTATATAACAAACATATTTGCCGCTTGTAACTCTGATGTGGTTTGTTGACAAACAAATACTGACACAGCCGGTTCAAATAAACTTGAGCAGCCTTGTCCTAGTGTCAGGGAGATTGTGTCTTCTTCTTGCCTCTCTCTTTTGCCGCTTTCGGTGTCGAGGGAGATATAAGGTTCTTTTTCTTGTTCTTCTGGCTGGCTCCTATATATATATATATATATATATATATATATATATATATATATATATATATATATATATATATATATATATATATATATATACTGTTCTATTGTAGAATTTCTCCCATGTTATATTTCGATCATGTTCTTGGTCTACCTCGTGCTACTGTTATATGTACATATGAACAGTACCTACTTTACTGATAAAATACAATTGCAGTCTGAAAGATAAGTATTTGGCGGGGACGAATGTAAGACTGGCCTGTGTGTTCAATGCGTGACCCTTTAAAAATAAAAACATGTGTGTGTTTGTTTGTTTGTTTGTTTGTTTGTGGTCTACATTACCTTTAAGAGAGCAAACCATCCTTTTTTCTTCGTATGAAGTTTAGTATTGCTTCTACGCCAAAGTTATAGTTTATGGTATCATTCGTTATTGTCTGTGTACTCACAACTGGCCGAAATCCTAATACAGTATCACCTCGGAATTCAAACGACTCCAAAAGTTGATCAAATTTAATCTGAAGGAAATTTTGTCTGAGAACTACAACGCTGCTTTGGAAACGGAATGTATGGCACTTTCCGATCAGGTGACTGAGCTGACAAGGCAAGAACTTCAACGCCTTCACTAGCAACAGAAGGAAGAAACTGCAGAAGAAATTTATGTTCGGGGAGGAAGAGGGTGAAGCTGGATGGATTTAACACTGTTGATATCAGAGATATTTTGATCATGTTATCGAAAATACAAGAAGTTGTTGAGAGGCACCCTGACAGAACCCTAGTTACCAAGTGTGTCAACTTATTCAGTGATAACATTATCCAACATTTTAGAAAAACTTAAAATTGGTCGCCAACCCTAGATCAGTTTCGAACTCTTGCTGTCATCAAAACTGGTCACCCCAGGCCAGTGGTCAGCAAACTCTTTGGTCAAAAGATCCAACAATCAGCGGCAGGTCGATGAACATTTTGTTGAGAGCCACATTTCTTTCCCCGAGCCTGTCAAGAAACATGTTTTTCGCTAGTCAAAACCGATTTGTGGCCAACCGGCCGCGCCGCACTCAGGTTGCTAAAGAACTCGCTAGCTCTTGACGACGGTCACCAGGAATAGCAGTAAACATTGCACACAGTAACAATGTCTGACTCTTAAAGTGTTAAACAATTTCAATACTATGACAAAGAGAATTCAAATTTAAATTTACAAACTAGAAGGATGGTAAAGAATAGAAGAATATGAACTGAACATTACGTGGAAGCGACACCACATAGATGTAGTTTTATAAAACCCTAGGTTTTAATTGCTCGGCTGCGCCCCGGATAGTGAAAGGAAATCTTATTCCCCTGTCGTCTATCTCATCTTGGCCTGCAGTGGTGTCCTATATGTAGGTCCAGTGGTAATAGGGGTCTAACTAAAACCCTATATTTATTATCCATTCTATTTTTACTTCATCTTTGTCTCCACCGCTGCCGTATCTTCAGTCATTGCCCTCAAGTGCACCCGAGGCATCTTTTGTAACACTAACACCAGTATTTTACAGTTTGGGAGACAGACACATGTACTGTCTCAGACACATACAGATGTATAGTTTCAATGAAAAGAACATAATTCTTTTTTAAATTACCCTTTCAAGGGAATTATTGAGAAAAATTCAAAGGGATATAATTCATGCGGAAGATTACTTTCATGAATGTCGCAATAAATAAAGAAATGCACAATAACCTGGGAAGGAGGTGGGGGGGGGGGGGGGGGGCAATTGATTGTTTAATTAAATACTTTTGGTGGTAATGGCAAGTGAAAATTTAACCCCTTTACTGATCACGGTTTGAGAGGAGTTAAAACATCATTTATAATAAACACAGAAAGGGTTTTCTGAGTTATGATATAGATAAAAGAGAACAAACTAGACAGTTTACTTTCTACTAATACAAACAACATTATGAAATGTACACACCGGCAGGTAATGAGTGTATGTATATATGTGTGTGTGTGTGTGTGTGTGTGTGTGTGTGTGTGTTTTTTTTCTTTGACTACTGCGCGTTTGAATGCGTGCTGTTGGGTAAACAGTCGTTAACGAAGGCAGTCAGGTCGTTGTTGGTTCGAGGCTTGCTGGTGGATGTAATGTCCTAAATCCCTTCCCCAGCTAATAGTAGAGTACTGCTGGGGTGACAGTTTATTTAAAAAAAAAAAAGTAAAGGACCCTTTTTCCGCCTTTAGGCGTATAGGGCATATAGGGCTAGACCTATATTTTTATAGACCAACGGCACAAGATGGGTGATGTGGTCGACAGTTTATTAACCCTCACATAATGCTTCAGGTCCAAATGAACACTAGGCACTGCCACTGTTTTGAGCCGAGGCAAACATTTTTGCTTCTGCCAGACTGTGGCCGATGCTTTTTTGCTCCATTTGTAGACTGGAAGTAGATAGTTTCGTAGCCCAGCTTCTGAGTTGAGTGCATGGCGTGACACTGTGAGCTGCTGATTTCATTTAGTGGTGGTGTAATTTGTAGATTCAGAAAATGGCGCGATGCCGGTTGTCGCAATATTGTTGGGACCATTGTTTGATTAAAATTGATCGCGTGTGCAACTGCTGATCTTTTAATGACTTCTGCTACCATCAATGATGAAATGCATTTCTAACGTCAGACTGTTTGTGTTAGCACTTCGGATGGCTACCATATGCTTTTAATGCGAGTGTATGCTAGATTTGCTGAGACAGCAGTTTGTCAGTCTTTTCACAGGGGACTGTGATAAACATTCTGTGTGTTTTTCGTTGGCACAGGAGCGAAGCAAAGATGGGGTGACCCGGTTGGTATGAAGCTGAAATTAAAATTATGAGATTACTAGATTACACATCTAAAAAATTTCACGCAGAGAACTGATTTCCCACATCAAAATTTTTTTTTAAAAGTATCCAGAAGCCATGAGTTGTTAACTCCTAGGCTCGGTATTATGGATATGGCAACCCTTCGGCCTTTATTCCATGACAAATACAGTAAATCTGGGAGAAATGTGGCTTTTCTGCCTACCCCCGGGCGTGAACCCGGACCACAAGGAGTTCGTCACCCGGTCACCGCGCAGTCCGGTTTAGCCAACTACGCTAGAGAGCCGGGCTCCAACATCAATAAGTCTTTGGCTGTGTTTTGAGAAGGAGACAACTAGAGTGCATTGCGACGGTCTGCAGGGGAGAGGTTGTAGATGGAGATGATGCTAGGCAGTTTTCATGTTCAGGTCGTGGTGCACCTTTTTCACCTGGATCTACACATCTGGGCATACCGCAGTGAAAGCTGACGAAACAGCGAACCAAACTGGCTTTCAGAGCTGGTATAATCAATACTGTTCAGGCTAGATCTTGGATCATGGAGAGTCTATGATGTTAACCCGATTGCGTGACATAAGAGATAAGTCTGATAAAGCTTGTCTATACTGTCTTCGAGGTCAGCATATGAGGCTTTATCACCTACTTCTGATAGGAACAGTGGCTAGAGTTACCTTGAAATTACGCAACATAACAAAGTCAGAAATGCGGTCAGTATGCCAGAACGCAACATAACAGTCAAATCAGCGGACATCAATGGTAATTTTACAAACAGGCCAGTATTTTTTTAACCCATTCATTATTAAACAACGTCCTAGACCTTTATCCATAATACATTACCAGACTTGCTTTTCTGAACGCATGTCCCACTCAGTTGTTACATGAACAGCTCTAAGCCAGGTGTTAAACCTGCAATAACCAAGTGTTTTCAGACACTTTAACACAATTAGACCCGGTATTTACTAGATACTTGGAGCAGATAGAATGGGGATAGGATGGAGTCCCGGCAAGACACCATGGCCGGCGTGATGCTGACCATATCACCGACTAAGTGTCGATCAGTCTATTTAAAAATAGGTTTAGCCCGATGTGC